CCGCAAACCACCCACATAAAAAAGGAGGAGGAGAGATCAGGACGATAGAATATATTTGATAGGAAAGAAGGAGCAAACCACACCAGAGCACCCGCCAACCACCCAAAACCTCTCAGGGTGGATTGGTAACATTTTATTTCAAACATAACAGTAACATTAGCGCTGGGTCACATAACGTAATACACGAGTAGAATCTATAATACATGTATATGTATGTACATTTTTGGGGATTTAAAACCAACAAAAATATATGGCAAAATGAAGAAACAGCCTTCTTGTACTACCAACGTTAAGAATGCAACACAATTTTATTTTCTTATTTAATCGAAGCAGATCAAGATAAGAACGCATGAGAGGAAAAAGCTAAAGTCATGTGGAAATTTTTGCTCTTTTCTCCATATTAATATTAATATAAAATGTCAGTTTAGTTTTTTTCATAAACGTGGCAGCTAAACACAGCATGAAAAAGAAAAAAAAAGGAAAACTAATGCGTGTGAGATGAAATACCTCAGAAAATCAATCAATGTAACAAGAAAACACAAAATAAAGAACAAAATTACCGTCCATAACTTAATTTCTTACGTACTTAATACTGCACTTGTTTTTCAAGGAAATAAATTGGGGTTTTTTGCGTTCGTCTTGGCAAACAATAGATCTACAAATCTGTGTGATGAATTTTTACTAAACGTACTAGAACATTTTTAATGATTTTTTTCCTGAGGTAGTATTCACGTTTGCAAAAAATCCGTTAAAATTCCAAAGCTTGAGAGTCGTTGGAAACAGGAAATTTACAATTTGGGTGTTAATCAACATTTTTCAGTAAAATCCACACGAGAATATCGTTTTGAACTGACATAAAAGTATTAAAAGGTGTTGAGAAAAAAAAAGAAAAAAACCTGACAAACTGATGGAAAAATACCGATATCGTCGATTTCATTATTTTGACGAGCGCCTGGTTTCACCACGATGTCTCACAATTATTTTCTTACAAGGCGACCGAGTCAACATGCTGTTGCGACGTACAGCATTCGTCATGCCGTGCGAAGCGTGAGGACCAGGATGGCGAACGCCATTCGTCATAGGTTGTATTCTGCATACTGTATTTATTATAACTTACATTTTGTAAAACTAATCACAGATTCAACATTCAGGAATAGTTTTTCCGTACAAAGAAATCTTTTCCTTTTAGACATAGTAGTATTTGCAAACCAAGTCTAATTATAGAAAATATGACCACTAAATCTAGCACTACTCTGTGTCACCAGAGATCCAAAACAGTGCCTGGGGAAGCACGAACTGACCCTTTGCCACGAGGGATTAAGGGGAATAATTTCATCCAGAAATCATAGCGATATCTCTGTGATATTGACAAATGCTAAAGATAAACAGATATTCGACTTAAATTACAAACTTGAACTTCTAATCCAGAGATATGACTGAACAATGGGAAAATACACCATATTCTTTTGAGTAAATTACAACTCCCTTTTGAGATGAAAAAATTCCTAAATTGAAAAAAAGACTTGAAAAACTCAAAAACCGGAGGAATGGTAGAGACAGTGGGTACAATTATTACCACAGCATGCAGAAAAAACCTCCGCCCTTTTCAACATCTACCTAGATCTACTTTATTTTACCTGACATCACGGCAATACCAAATGGTATTCTCAGAGGGAGGGTGCGGTGGCGAAGTGGTTAGTGCACTCGTCTCCGAAGTGGAAAATCTGGGTTCGAGCCTCGGCTCGGACACAGATTTTTTTTCGCCCCCTCCTGCCCACCCAGCAGTAATGGGTACCTGACTGGGAGTTGGGGAAGTAAAGGCGGCGTGGAAAGGAACTGGTCACCCTACCACAATATGCCAAAGGCCCAGAAAGTTGTCTCACTAACGAGGCAATCCCCAATGTCCGGATCGGATGGGGGGGGGGGGGAACTTTACTTTTACCAGAGATGCAAACCACAGAAAACCGAAATGAGTATTGGGAAATATGAAAATGTGTATTTTCAGGGGAAAATGTGTATTTTCAGGGGAAAATGTGTATTTTCAGGGGAAAATGTGTATTTTCAGGGGAAAATGTGTATTCCTCACCACCGACAGACCAACTAGTAAAATGTTCAGGGTGTCCTGCGATATTTCCTTTAAACAATTTACGAGCTCACCAGCTCCAAAAAGGGAGCACACACGTGTACAATATACAGGTATCCAGTCAACAACATGTCAGTGTTCAGTGTCGTACTGGGGTCTTGTTTGACTTAAGTATTTCAGTCTTTTAAAATATTTTCCTCTCATTATTACGTAAAAAATAAATCCTGCTTTGAGCGTTCAGAAGGGCCTAGAACAAGAATTTCGACAATCAAGAACCAGTCTGGGTGCCATGATTCTTATTATGAACTGACATACTAAAATTATTGCTCAAACTCAGTTTTAGTAGAGGTTTTACGGCGCTCACAACTGCATAAGGTCATATGAGCGCCAGAAGATTAGAGGTGTCACAAGAGAGTAACAAACATAAAAAAGAAGAAGGGGGGGATAAAGACGATAGATGTTTGATAGGAAAGAAGAAGCAAACCACACCAGAGCACCCGCCAACCACCCACGCTCAAACTCAGAGAAGAGCAATAACTTGAATGGCTCAAGTAGACCCACGCAGTGTGAGAGTTGTAACAACTGTGGGAGGGCGAGATGCAGTGACACTGAAAATCTGCCAGTCTTGAACAGAAAGCTACAACATACACTGTAGGTATAATTTACTAGATTCTAGATCTATTACCCATCCAATGAAACGCGAACACTTTATTTCAATAACACAGACTTGCAAAGTATGAAGGATCCCCGATTCCCTGATTCCCCACACGGCCTGCACCAACTCGCGCTTTGCAGAGAGCTATAATCAAAATTCTGAAATTTGCTTCCAGGTTTTTGTCCTCTGGTGTTGCCATCACGCCACCCCCCCCCCCTTTCCCCCGAGTGTATGTTTTAAAAAAAATCAATAATCCCCTCCCCTATTCCGTAGTCCTATACTTCGCAAGGTCGTTACTCCCACCAAAGACGGTCTTCGCTCACACGATGCCGTATTTATTTAAGATGCAAATGCACGAAGGGTCACTGACCGGTCACGATGGCGAGCCAGACAATCTAAAAATCGGACGACGCTTGTATTTTCTTTTCTTTTTTTTCCCACAAGTGACAGCACAGAGACAAGTCCGAGTGTTGAATAAATTTTATTTGCGCAGCAACACAGCGTTTACTCTGCACAACCTGCATTGTCACAAATATTCCCATATCAGACTACCTCTGGCAAACTTCTCGGTGGTAACGAAAGCGAAAGTAGATCTTGAACTTGATTTTCCCTATCGAGCCTCGGTGTCACATACACTTCCGCCTGCCGCCATAGCCACCTCTTCGCGTGAAAGTGAAACGTACTCTCGGACGGTGAAAAGCTGAACGAATATAATATCACAATCGCGACCGGCAAAAATGAACCTACTGACCTTATCGGACTTGGTTTTCAAATTTTCCAGTTCCGCGATACTGAAACTATTTTGACAAAAGATGGGACTTGAGATAATTAGGTTTACTCGACCAAGCTGAATCTCGTATTTTTCGCATTCCAGGATGCGTATTTTTTCATGATAAGTCGTATTCGCGTACTTTCGGCCAAAAATCGTACTAAAATACGTAAAATCAAAATCGTACTGGTTGGCATCTGTTTTACTCTCAGAGGTCTTTGGTCGGTTACAACATTCAACCTCCCACTCCCTTCTCAATAACGATTTGTTGTGGCTAGGAGAAACAGATAAAACACTGGGAACCAAACTGAATGCTACACTTTATTCTGTTGGCCCATCCTCTTACTCAGCTCGTATTCATCATTTGTTGCAGCAGAAACACCTGACTAAAACTGGGACCAAACTGACCTGGTCAACAGCAGTTATGTTACCAAAATTCCAAAGCTCGGCAAAATCCTTGGCCAAGAAGTTCATTAACACTCGGAGAGTTAAAAATACAGAAAACTAGTAGGACCTGTAAAACTCATACCAAATAAAGCAGTCCATTACAATACATGCCAGCCCGTGGGATCCAGTTTTACATCTCTTTCAAAACAAGGAACTGACATAAAAGGTGTTGAGATGGGACCTTTGAATTAAAATCACATTCTCTGAAAAAAAAAAACCACAACAGAGTGGACATCAGTCATTTATAACTTTCAAAACAACAAAGGCTCAGAAACTCTGGGACTCAAACCCAGGCCATCAGCATCCGAGTTAAGTACAGCATCCCACCTCGACACTCACAACCGTTTTGTCTTCATTCACACCATCAGTAGATCCAACATTTGTGTTAGGACACCGTGGAATCAGGGGCTCATCAATTTTTGAGCATGTGGAGTTATTGGTATCCTTTTAAAACATGTTCATTTGTCTTGCTTTTAAAGTAAAAAAATACCCATGCATCTTGAACAGATGTCTCAATATCGGTAATTAGCGGTGGTGGGAGTCACCTGGTTTCAGTGGTAAAATTAACAAGAAAACGACAACCAAAGTATGGTGACTTCCATAGCTTTTGAGTCCTCAGAAACTTTTTAAAAAAATTTTCCCCCCCAGCTTTAATCAACATTTTTTAATAAAATCTACACAGAAATGTTTTCAAATGGACATAAAAAGCATTGAGACAAAAAAACAAAATTTCAAGAAAAATCACAAGACTGGCTGAGTTGTTGTTGTTATCGATCCAGCAACAGACGGGCTGGGAAAACTCCAGTATCTCCGATTTGATTACTTTGATGAGCGCCTGATTACACCACGATGCCTCACATTTGTGAGGCCTGCTAACAAAATGAGTTACTTCTCGCAATCCATGAATAGAGATATCAGCCAAAAATCAACACAGAGGTCATATTTGTAGAATCTAAACCAATGCCATTCTCTTCAAGTTTAACATGTCTTTTATCATTTCATACTGATAAATTGTAGAGCTTCAATCTATAAATTTGATGTTTCTATTTCCATCGGTCTAAAATCTGAGAAGTAACTCATTTTGTCAGCACACTTCACATTTATCCATCCATCCATCGACAGTATGTACAGCATGGCCGCGGCACTAGATCTGGGTCAGTTGCTCGGGGCATAGCCTCGACCCATGGGAAGTCCACGACCACGGCCCATGGGAAGCACCCCTCGGCCACCAACACCACCACCAGCAGCGGACAGGGAGGGAGGAGGAGCCGCTCCGCGACCGACCGTCGGCCCAGCACCTCTCCCCATAACATGCGACGCTGCGGCGGCGGCGGCCATAGAGCTCGGGGCAGCGGGAGAACCCTGACGCCAGACAGACCCGGTAGGAGCTGATGCTGCCGCTGCGCCACCGCCGCCCACTTGACCCCACGCCGATGGGACTTGGCCCTGGGAGAAGACACATGGAAAGTGACATTATTCAATAGGGTAAATCATTTCTTTAACAGTTTTCAACAAACAAAAAGTTACCTTCATCATTATCATCATCATCATCATCGTTTTAAGTAGCAGGTAATAATAAAGGGTTGAGACTTTATAGATTTTTCAAATTTAATATAGGTTCAACTTTTTGCCCGATAAAGGGCTTCGTCAGGAACACGATACAAAAAAATATATTTGACCCCACGCCGACGGGGAAAGTGACATTTTTCAACAGGGTAAATCATTTCTTTAACAGTTTTCAACAAACAAAAAGTTACCTTCATCATTATCATCATCATCATTATCATCATTATCATCATCACCATCATCATAATCATCATCACCATCACCATCATCATTGTAAGTAGCAGGGAATAAAAAAGGGTTGAGACTTTATAGATTTTTCAAATTTAATACAGGTTCAACGTTTCGCTCGGTAAAGGGCTTCGTCAGGAACACGACACAAAAAAATATATTTGACCCCACGCTGACGGGACTTGACCCTGGGAGAAAACACGGGGAAAGTGACATTTTTCAACAGTGGAAATCATTTCTTGAACAGTTTCCAACAAACAAAAAGTTACCTTCTTCCTCATCATCTTCATCATCATCAGTAAAAATCATCTAAAGTATTATTATTTAAAAAAAGAAAAGAAAAACAACAAAACGTCTCTGATAGCTGTTCTGAACAAACTAACTCTAACAGAAACTGCTACATTCACACCTTCTCTGCCGTCGTAAGGGAAAACGACGAATGGTCAAAATTGTTTTATTTTTTTATTTTTACATAGTTCATAGAGTATTGAATTCTGCATCTGATGGTGTAAAACTTTTTGTCTTATCCTAATCCGTTGTTGCGTAACTGAGAGTTCGTCGTTTTCCCTTACACTGGCGTGCTCCGAGCCAGAGCTCAGTGTAAGGGAGAACGACGAATGGTTGATCGGTCAAGGATCACTGCTCGTTCAGCATTGTCCCCTGGTCTCTGCCGTTGGGCAAATTCTGCATGGGCCACGAATGACAATTGATCACTGTTCCGTCAGTACAAACATACTAGGTTTTTTGCAAGCAAACACACCACCCCCTCCCCCGGAGTACCGTCGACCAGGTTTATAAGATCGTATCATTTAGTGTGTCTTTCTGTTTGCTTTCACGTATTAGGCCTAAGCTGATGGTGTGAATTGACAAGAGCAGGCGGGAGAGAGGGGAAAACGGATGAGAACAGGGGGAAAGGGGTGGGGATGGGAGGGTCAAAAAAGTATTTAGGGAGAAATTTATTAGCACTGCATGTTAGTGTCCGCCAGATGTTCACAGACTAACGTCATGTTAGTTTCCTGTCCAGTCATTTGACATCCTAAATCCCAACGATGGTTATAGTGCCGCAATTTGTCTACACATGTCACTGGTCGACATCATTATAGAATTACCAAGCAATTAATGACACTGCGTTATGACAGTAAATTTCTTTGTCCAACTTAAAAAGTGGACGTATTGTGGCGACACTTAGTTTTGCTTTACGATTTTTTATGACTTGATGGACGTTACGATCGAGTATAATAATGTCTTGCAGATTCAAACTGTCCTTGTCGATCTCTACTTTGTGGTATGTTTTCCGATCCGATCAACTGAATCCTTTATCAAATACAAAGCGTCGCATTACCTCTCCCAAAAGCGTTTGAGATACAGTCTTGTCAGATTGTTATATTTCTTACGTGAAAGTTTGACTTTGCAATGATCTGATCGTATTATTGACATTGTAACATTGTTGATCCCTTTGGTCGTGCAGGGAAAATTTTGCAATTAGCGAAACTAAAAGTAAAACTCGCTTCTGAAGAGAATACAAGAGAGAGATATTGTGGAGACCAAACCTTGGTTCCGAATGAGAAAGTTTTAAATCAAGCTGTTGAAAATGTGTGCACATCCGATTTGTACACTGACTGTGTAGTATTTAACACCAAGCGAGGAAGGGAAACGAAGGACGTTGCTTACCGAGTTACAGTTGGGATATAATAAACACCTAATAGCTAGATCTAGTTTGTACACGTCTTATTTTTATCTGCAGTAACCAGTACACAGTCATTACTGTCAATAATGCGTCACAACTGACCATCACCTACACCAATAAACGTTCACGAGTGTAAAGGAGAACGACGAACCATACCATTCGTCGTTTTCGCGTACATCGCAAGGCTCACTTGCGGGCGCGCAGTGTAGGGGAGAACGAGGAATGTCGAATAACTTTGTTACTTTTTAACCTAAACCATTCAAACTTTAGAAACTGCTTCATGAACACCTCAAACAGTTATCTGGTGAATTACAGCTTAAAAGAGTGAAAAATAGAATAGTTATAAAGTGAAAACAGTTTTTGTCTCTCCTGAAAAATTTGCCTCGCTACCTGCGCAGGACCATTCGTCGTTTTCCCTTACGACGGCAGTTCTATTCACAACTTATAAATATCCGGTACCAATTCAGACACTGGACAACCAAAAAAAAAAAAAACCACCAAAAAACCTCAGGACACAAAAGGGTAGGAACTTTCTGACACCTTGTCAACCTAACGTTTGCTTACTCCTGGATTTGGCACTTTTATAGTTTAATGTGTGTTGTTCTAAGGGCAAAGTGGCACTGAGAGATTACAAGGGTTCAGGGCAAAGAGGATGTAGGAGTTAGAAATCTGCATGTGACCAGTGACGTGGACTTCCCAGGGTGGCTCTCGTGGCCTAGAGGTTAAAGTTAAGGTCCTGGGTTTGAATCCGGGTAGCGACCAAAAAATTTTCTTCTCTAAAATTGTCTCCTTTCACCTCCTTTCCTACTCTCTAGCAATGTTCAGTGGTCTGCTTTTGTCTCCTCTTTCTGCCCCCACCCCCTCACCTCCTTTGACCCCTCCTCTGGGCTCCTGACTCTTTCAGCAGCTCTTATGACCTTATGCAGTTGCGAACGCCGTAAAACACTTACCAATAAAAAAGAAAAATAGACTGCCCTAGTGTGGTAGTTTCCTCCCCTTATACATCCGGAAGGTGGGGCAGAGGGTCGGGGTAGCCAAAATTGTTTTAAAAATCAGTATTTTTGTCAAATCAAATAAAAATCATTAACAATTCAGTCACATTTGTAACAATGGGCAATAGTCCTAGGTGAAGCCTGCTGACAAAATGAGTTACTTCTCAGATTCAAACCTTTGAAAATAGATACGTCACGCTTATGGGTGGAGTTTTTGCAATTTTTAAGTATGAAAAAATAAAAGGCATGTTATGCTTAAAGAAAATAGAATCAATATAAAATATAACAAATTTGAACTAAGTGTCAATTTTTTGTCAATATCTCCATTCGTAGATTGCGAGAAAGAACTCATTTTGTCAGCACACATCACCTGTAACAACTTACCCGGGTCCCTGGTGCTAAGGCTGGGAATCCTGGCGGAGGTCGAACCCCACCCAGCAGGCCCGGAGCCCCTGGGTTGACCACGGGTCTACCTCGGCCCACGGCCAGGGCGGAACCTGAGGACAGCCAATGAACACAGACATGAGTAACAGTGAATGCTTTAGGGCTGTTTTCACTTGGTCAGAGATTGTTTCTTTGTTTTAGTTGAGGTTTTACGGCACTCGCAACTTCATTACGTCATATAAGCGCCAGAAGATTAGAGGTCTTACAAGAAAGTAACAAACACAAAAAAGAAGGAGAGATAGTTTACTTTTAGTAGAGGTTTTTTGGAGCTAGCAACTGCATAAGGTCTTATGAGCGGAAAGGGGTGAATGTCAACAGAGAAGTCCTCACAGGGAATCAGGCTTACTCTGCTCACCTCTCTAGCTTCAACAGCACAAAGTCTGTATTAACTTTCAAGGCACCCAAGAAATAGCAGGCCACAAGAGTGTGACAAACATACAAAAGAAGTAGAGTAAAATGATGATAGAGGGTTAAAGTTGTAGCGTGGGCAGTCTAGTGGTTTCGCTTCCAGACTCGTAATCGTGAGGTCACGGGTTCCGTAGTTCAAGGCTCTGTTTGGCCCGATGTTGTGTCCTTGGAAAAGGAACTTTACACAAATGTTCTTTCCTCATTTCACCCAAGTGGGAATGGATACCCGGCTATTGAAGGCAAAAGATATTATCGGTTTGTAGTGTTTCAGCGCTTAATCTGCTGCTTGCACTCAATGCTTTCCAGCGAGCCAAATATGTTTCTTTGTGTCCTAAGAGGTCGTGGGGTAATGATAGTTGTTAAAAGCATAAAGCATACTGTGGAGCAAGGGAAAACACAACACAAATGCTATTTATTGTTATAATGATCATTAACATTACTATTATTATTATTATTATCTATTTTTATTATTATTTGTATTATCATTACCATTATCATTATTATCATCATCATTATCATTATAATTATTATTATACAAATGTAATCGTTATTTTTAGTATCATTAATAATAATGATAAATGACATTTATATAGCGCTCAGCCCCGATTAAAGTACACAGGCTCTGAGCACTTTATAATGCAGCACAAAGTACAACAGTTACATAAAACGCTGTGTTCTGACCTGAAGAAAATCACTCCAAATATTCATCTTATTGATTTAAAAATAGAAACGACTTCAGCTGATATTTGAAAGAATCAAAAGATTTGATCTCTCTTAAAGTACTAGGAAAAGCATTCAAAATCTTGGGGCTTCGGTATTCAAACGCCCTTTCAGCTATTGTTTTAAATTTCATAGAGATGGTAAAATAAATGTCTTTTTGTCAGCTGATGACCATAAACTGTGAGTTGGAATGTACAGTCCTAACAGATTTGATAAATATGATGGAACGTTTTCATTCAAACATTTGTGACAGAGGGTGGTCAACTTGTACACAATTCTTTTCTCAACAGGAAGCCAAAGCAATGTCCGTAATAGAGGTTTAGCATTATCATTATCTCTATCACCTCAAGGAGAAAAAAGCAAAGTATTTTTACAGAGCCCACATTAAAAACTCACCCATTCTCAGTCCATTGTGCTGAAAAACTCCCATCCCTGCCTGTAGATGAAACAAAAGTAAAAGGTACTATAACATAATATTGGCCATAATAAGGCAGATGTATGTCATCTTGTTTCTTTTAGTAGAGGTTTTTACGGCGCTCACAACTGTGTAAAGGTCATATGAGCACCAGAAGATAAGAGGTGTTACAAGAGAGTGACAAACATAAAAAAGAAGAAGAGAAGATAAGGACGATAGATGATGTATGTCATCTTTAGTTTAGTTAGTTTTAGTAGAGATTTTACGGCGCTCACAACTGCATGAGGTCATATGAGCACCAAGGGGTGGATGTCAACAGAGAAATTCTTACAAGGAATCAGACTTATTCTGCTCACCTCTCTAGCTTCAACAGCACGTCACGAGAGTGTGACAAACATACAAAAGAAGTAGAGGAAAATGACGATAGTAAGGATTAGGAAAGTAAAAGCAGCAGTTCCCTGTGGTAGATCAGGCACAGTTATGAGCATGACATTGTTGGATCAGCCCATTTACAATTCTACTGTGCATTAGAATGAGAAATGTCCACCCTTTGGGAATGGCCTAAAGACACTTCAGTCAGAGGTACCACTCTGTGGGGGGGGGGGGGAGTACTTGTATTTGAGTCGCAGTGCAGGTGCTACTAAAAGTGCACAGTTAGCTCAGTTGGTATCATGCCGGAGTACGAAGCAGAAAGTCCCGGTTCAAATCCCCGACAGGGCATTCTAAACTTGTTTTTTCAGGAGGATGTTTTTTTTCAGATTCTCCACTCATTAGTCTAGGCTAGGTCTTACTCATAGTTTAGTTTCAGTAAGTGTTTTACGGCACTTTCAACACAATAAGGTCATATAAATGCTGAAGATAAGAGGCATTACAAGAGAAACAAACATGAAAAAAGGGAGGGGAGATAAAGACGATAGATGTCTGATGAGAAAGAAGAAGCAAACCACACCAGAGCACCCACCAACCACCCACAAGGTCCTACTGAAAATGTTCGTAATTTGTGAGGCATCCTGGTGAAACCAGGCACTTATCAATACATTTTATCTTTTTTGTCAAAAGAGTGAACACAAAATGGAGTGAAAGACAGAAGTACATAAGGTTGGAAATGGGGACATTAATTCTGACCTGGATATCAAAGTTTAAAAGAAAAGACAATTATTATTTTTCTAGCTGAAATCTTTATAATGCAGGATACTTTCAACAAGCACTTTTGAATGTCAACTATGCAAAGTATAGTTAGTTTTAGTAAGGTTTTACGGGCGCTAGCAACTGCATAAGATCATATGAGCGCCAAAGGGTGGATGTCAACAGAGAAGTCCTTACAGGGAATCGGGCTTACTCTGCTCACCTCTCTAGCTTCAACAACACAAAGTCGGCTTCGACTATCAAGGCATCCCGGAAATAGCGGGTCAGAAGAGTGTGACAAACATACAATAGAAGTAGAGGAAAAATTACAATAGTAAGGATTAGGAAAGAAAAAGCAGCAGTTCCCTGTTGCAGTTCAGGCACAGTTATGAGCGTGACATTGATGAATCAGCCCATATACAATTATAATTCTACTGTGCATAAAAGCACGAGATGCTAATGTCTCCCCTTTGGAAATGGCCTAAATACACTTCAGTCAGTAGCACCACCGCGGGGGGTAATGCATAGTATAAAAAAAGAAAGAACACAAACACAATATACTCACAGCAGGTTGTTGAGGCACTGAGGAAAAAAAAGCACACAAGTTGGAATCACAAGTTGAAAAAAGCTTCATCATAGAATCATAATATCGTGAGAATTCGCTCTGGTGTCTAAATAAATAATATAGAGCTAGAAATACTTCTTTTGAGAATGAACAGAAAACCTTGCAAGCATTTCTTTTTCCTTAAAGCTGGGAGTCGCTTTTTTCCCAAACATATCCCCCCCCCC